GAGTTTACTTCTTTTGGCCCATTATGGCTATTAATGTTTTCAACTTATATAACTTTAACCCTAAGTTGATGGGAAAACAATCTTTTAGCTACTAAAAAGAAAGAGAATAAAAGTAGAGAGAAAATGAGACCTTTTTGCTGAAAAATTGCATCAGATTAATTTCAAAATTTTCAGTAATCAGACTGTCATCCGTGCTCCGATCAAATTAAATTTGGTGAGTATTTAAATGACTCATTGTTCTTCATTTTGAACGGTGGAGATCGATTGTAGACGACTAAATTTTTGGTATTTATGGTTCGAAGTTACTGTTCACGTTTTTTTTTTTTGCGATGACCAATTTAACTTTCTTATCCAATCAGACAGTTATTTGTAATCTGATTAAGCTGAATTTTGGTGAACATGTTCGGAACAGATTGTTCTTTGATCTGAATGGTGAAAATCAGATTGAAAAATCTAAAGCGTATCTGTTTTGTATGAATAGTAGCTATTTTAGTGATATTTCTCTATTACCTTATTTATCTCTTATTGTTTGATTGAGTTGTTATTGAGACTTTACTTGAGGATTATTGCGATAGTATGTAGTTGTTATAAACATTAATTTTTTATAGTGGAGTTCTTTTACTTTGACCAGGAGAGATCTTATAATTTTTATCATTCATATTAAAGGAGTTTTCTACGTTAAAAATCTTTGTGTCTTTATGTGATTATTTTTATGCATCTTAGAGCAAATTTTATAGTATTTATTTGCTGAATTTTACTTATTGTCATTCCTTATAAATTTATTCAAACACTTCTCATCACTTTATTCACTAATATATTCTTTTGTTTCTACTTATAACCAAAGGAAAAATAATGCAGCTTATACCACTTTTCCACGATGTGTGCATGACACTTACAGTTTTGTGCATACGGTGCAACCTCTCATTCTTTTGGTACTTATCATTACTAGAAAAGTCATTAGACAACTTTTTATTATCATTTTAACTAAGAAACCTATCATATTCTCTGTTTCTTTAGTTAAAATGTTCCTTTAAGTTCTTTCTGAGTAACAAAAAAAAAAAAACTTTATTAATTGAATAAATCAAATACTTAATCACTAGTTGTTCTCTAATTTGTGCAATAACTCATTCAACCCCATTAGAAAGGACATGACTTATTCTATATGAAAATAATTGTTCAAGTTGCCAGCTCCACACGTATAACAACTAAAGGTGCAAGAAGGTTTGAAATTCCTTAGTCTTCTCATAAAGTCTTTAATCTTGATAATACACACTCACTAAGTTTTGATTTTACACATAATTTATCAAGTCTTGTTTCAATTAAAAAATTCTCAGCCTATTGAATTGTTGAAACTTATCTTTAAGATCAATCAATATCTCAAAAGTCGAGTGTATAAAAATGATGCTTGCAGAGATTTCTCTCAAAATTTAATTACGAATTTAAGAAACTGTAATGTTGTTATTCCTTAACCAAGCACTAAAGAGATTCATGTTTGTTTTATTTGGTCAAGTGATTGAACCATCAATGAAACCCATTTCGTCTTTAATTCACAATGTGATTAGCATCACTCTGTTTTAAGAAGCATAAGTAGCTCGAATTGATTGTTGCGAGACTAATACAAGTCTATACCACTAGAATGATAAAGATGGTAAAGCGTTTGTGGATCACCAATGACAACCTTTTTCCATTTATGAAGAAGCGAACAAATGATTAAGGTTTTCCATATTTATCGTGTAAAAAAGCAGAAGAAATATATTATGAATTTTGAGAGCCACTACTATGATACCATTTCTCGACAATTTAGAAAATGAAAAGTTTTTCTATATGTTATTACTTAACTATTATCAAGAATGTATCTATATAAAGGGTATTAGAAAGCTCTAATTAGTTTAGTTGTTAATTACTTGTTAACTAACTAACCAACACTAGCACACTTTTTCTAACTATAATATACATAATGAAAATTTTACTTAAAGTAATATAACTTTAATCCATATGAATTTTGAACTATATTTTGCAAAATTCATAATAAATTAATTTAATTCTATATTGATCCAATTTTTATTAACACAATTTATTTTTTAATTAAAATATGTACAATTTTAGATGAATTTCATACAATACATGACTTTCTTATAAATATAACCTTAAGATTAACTAATAGTTTATTGTAAAATATAATTTAACCGAGTACTAAATAGTTTTTAAGATATAACAAATGTTAAGTGCTTCTTTGAGGTATAAATTTGTAAGGAGAAAAATTTATGCACATTATTCAAATGGATATAGGAAATTAGTGGAGCCAAATGCCCAACTCTATGAAAAATATAGCTAAATCAATCAGGTGTTATGAAGTACTGCGTTATAAAATGTAATCATATATATCACTGTACAATTTAATTTGGCTAGTGGAATTAATATTGTGCTATTATTGTACTGAAATTAGATTTGAGACGGAAAAAAAATAATTAAATAATAATATCAATGTATGATAATGTCAAATTAGTCATTTTGTATTCTCGTACTACAATCAAATTATTTATTAAAAATTTAAGATCACGTTGACTTCTGGACTTCTAAATTAAATAATTTTTTTTTTTTACATAGGTTAAAAACATATGTTAATGTTTTAATTGCAGTAAAAGCTCAACATACTCAATATTATTTTGTGACAAATTAATTTAGATAGTGTTATTATAAATTTGAATTTAAAACATTAATCATAGGCATATTTATTGTAGTAGTAAGAGTATAGTTTTACCTCCAATTGGTTATAAACTTAAGTTTAATTAAAATTTCAATTTATATATGACAAAAGCTTAATATAATAATAAAATTTTGAATGAGATTATATTTGAATTTAAATAAATTATATATCAAATTAAAATTAATTATTTAATTAAGATTTGGTAAAATAAGTTCATCCGTTTGAAGTAAAAAATGAGTGGATTTAGTTTAATTACCTATTAAATAGGTAACTTATGAAATAAATTTATACATGAAGCAAGTAATATCTTTAAATTAAATAATATAATTGGTTGAAATAAATGAAATAGAAAATGAATTTATGAATCTTGTTATTTTAGTATTAAAAATTAATGCTTAAATTAAATGAGTTAATTTGCTAAAATCAAATTTTATTATCAGCTTAAATTGACTAGTAAACAAGAAAACATAAGACAATATTGATTGAGTCACGCTTAACTTTTGTCAAAAAAAGAAAAAAAAAAGAAAAGAAAAAGAAAGTAGAATTTTCTTTAATTATAATTAAAAAGAATGTGTTGGAGTTGTCATTATGGAAGTCAAACAAATTAAAGGCGGCATGATTTTTATTAAGGGAATTTGCAACATCTCAAGATTATATGAAATAGTAGTATTAAATATTATTAATACTAATAATACACACTATATATATATATATATATATAAATAAAACATGCTTGAATGAGTTGATTCTGTATTTTTTAAATGTCTTCGATATAATAGTCAACAATTCAAAGCCTGATTTTGATTAGGAAAAGTAAATTGCTTAAATGACGTGGATTAAGTCCCACCAAATATTATTGATTTGGACTTTTTTCTAGGGATTAATTAGGAAAAGAAATAATTATACACATATCTACATATTCCACAATTTCATACTCGCCCGCCAATATTATATAATATATATATATATATAATATATATGTACCAACTTCCCTCACCACTTCATACTTTACTATTTATAATCAATATAAATATCTTAATGAGTGCACTTATTTAATTTAGGGTTTTAACATTATTTTGTTTTATTGATTAAAAAATCATTTAATTCTGTGTCCGAAAGCTAATTGTTAGTATTGTAATTTATTTTTATTTTAAGCATTTGAATTTTTTTTTATGTAATTTTTCATCAGTTAAATATAAAAATTTTAAATACTTTTATAATATTAAATTAGAATGTAATATGAACTACGAACTTTTATACTACGTGAATATGCAAAATAATTTATCCAATATTTGAAGTTGAAACTAATATATATATATATAACTTTATTGTTTTTTATTTTTATTCAATTTATTTTCTTACACTGGTTAAAAAATAATTAATTAGTTAATTACTATGTTATTAAACAAGCAAGGATAATAATTTTGGAGTCAAAATTTAATTTATCAATTAAAGAAGAAAGTTGAATTAAATAAAAATAAAAAATAACTGAATTAATTAGCGCAAGGTAAAAAGTAGACAGGTGAAAGGATTAATTAAATTGGGTCGAAGATCCACTGGACAGCACATAGACATGATTAATAGAGGCGGGGGAAAAAAAAAGGAAAATTAATTAATTTAGACCGAATCTGACATGGCAAAAAGTGGATCCCACATCATTTTGACCGAAAACGGGGGCATTGCTAAATTGATCCCTATCCCGGTCACGTCATTTTCCACGATATAGCGCGAAGGCGTTTTGACTGCGTTCGGGCACCGGACAGGACCGTTCGGGCAGACCGCACGATCTCTCTCACTGCACGCCTAACTCAAAAATAATAAATAACAAAAATTAAAGAAAAACAAATAATAATCTCGCCCTTTACCAATTTATTGCTGCTAATATAACAGTTTTATAATTTTTAATTTCATCATATTATTCGTCACGTATATCAAATAATACAAGAAAAAGATTATTTAGATTTATTTAAAATATAGAATACCATAAAAAATTTTGCTATTTAATTGTTATCTGGTACACTTTATAATATTTAAGAGATAATAGTATGAAAAAGAATAAAAAGAGAAAAATATAATTTTCTCCCTGAAAAGATAAATTTAAAATCATTAATTATTATTTTTTAAATTAGTGACTTAGATTTTTTTAAGCGAAATAGTGATTTAGATTATAATAATTGATATATTAGGAAATTATTTAATTAAATTCAACGAGTACTTTGATAAAAATAAAAATAAAAAAAAGTTTTCTTATATTAAAAAAAGAAAGGTCCGAGTTATTAAGAGCACACACAAAGGAGAAGTAAAATTTTTTTGTTGACAAAAAGCAGCAGGGAGAGAAAAGAGAGAAGGGAGAAGAGAGAAGTGGAGTTCAAACGAGAAAATGTTTTGAGCAAAAAAAAAAAAAATCATTCCCCGAATTTTGTTCTGGTTTGTCATTTTTCTTTTTCCACTGCTGCGCGTGATATTGATTTTTTTTTGCTTACCTCTTAGCTTCGTGTTGTTAATGAGAGAGATCAGGGGGATGCTGTGATTGAGGTGATTTTCGGGCGTTAATGGTGGGATTTGGGAGCTAGGGTTTTGCTGCTGTTGGTCATGTTGATGTTGGGATGTATCTTGTTGCTTGGATCTGAGCTGATTGGAGAGAAAGAGAAGCTGACAGTGTAGTGTAGTATGTCGGAAATGGAGGCCAGAGTTGGGGCTTTTAGTTTAGCCTTGTTGATCTTCCTGCTGCATCCATTATGGCTTGGCTCTGCTAACATGGAAGGTGCGTCCCTGTGTTGTGCGGATATTTTATGTCTTTTTTTGCTTAGCTTTTTGACTTTTCTGGATTTTCATTTTTTCATTGTTCTTTTTTCGAAATTTGATAGTATGATAATTTGTTTCTGTAACTTGTAACTGATTCTTAGAATGAGAAAGAGATGAGTCTCTGGAGCTAGTTTCAGGATTTGAAGGCGATAAATGGTTATTTTTGCCGTTGTTTGATGTTTTGTTTCTTTTCTGGGTTTAAATCTGGGTTGGTTTTTCTCCCGATTTCTATGCATTTTTATGTTTAGATTAAACATGATAATTTCATTGAGATGCGTATTGATCTTTTAAAGTACACAACAGAGAAAAATCTACAAAGTTGTACCCGTTATGACTTTACTTGTGATGAGCTTCTTTTTCTTTGGATTCTCTGAGAATATTTCCTTCAGACAACTGCCTTTCTTTTTGGAGTATGCCTTTATCAAATCCTGCGATTATGACTCTAGGTTTACTATGTATTTCTACTTTCCGTATGTTTTATTGACGACTGGATGATACTGTGAAGGTGGCGGAGAGTAATCACCATTTTTGGCATTTTCAACCGTTCCTTGCAAACCGTCTTTAATTTCCTGAAACCTTACTGTATTATGTCAACTGTTAAAAGCGCATGTTATCTCATGAACATTGCCGTTTCTTTAGCTAGCCATCTCACTACTCTGGAACACGTGGGATTTACATTCAGCATAACTTGCTGTAATTTTTAAAGAAAGAAAAGTCAGCTTTTTTTTTTTTTAAAAAAAAATTCTTTAACTCTGGATTGTTAATTGGTTTTGAAGTTAATATCCATCAGAAGATAATCATAATTTGTCATTTGCATATAGGTTGGCCCTGAGTGTGGTTTCTTAATTTTGGCCCCTGTTGTCTTTGATTGCATATTGAAACAGGTGATGCACTACATAGCCTAAGGACCAACCTCAATGATCCAAACAATGTCTTACAAAGTTGGGATCCCACTCTTGTCAATCCTTGCACATGGTTCCATGTTACATGCAACAATGATAATAGTGTCATACGAGTGTAGGTTTCTACGCCTTATATTTTTGCTTTAATTTCAGGATATACTTTTATATCTCTCCGTGCAAAGAATACCTTGACATTTTCCTTTATGTGAATTTTCAGTGATCTAGGGAATGCGGCTCTGTCTGGCCAATTGGTTCCACAGCTTGGCCTGCTTAAAAATTTGCAGTATTTGTAAGTCCTGCAGTTGGTTTCAAATAATTTATTAAATCTCTGTATGTTAAGATGGTCCTGTGTTTGTGCAATTCATCTGGTCTTTCATAAGTTCCTATTTTCTTTCTTGGTTTGATTTGGGACATTCAGCTTCTTCATGCAAGAAAGTGATTGGCTGGTCTGAATGGGAAGAAAGCAAATGATCATAGCTAGATTGCTATGAATTTTGGACAAATTTTAAGGATGAGTCAGTAAAAGATGGTTTAAAAATTACATATAAGTTTTCTTGCTATCTCATGCAAATCATTGATGAGTACAACTCAATTATATATACAAGTGGTCTTTTTCATCAATTAAAGGCAAGAACAAACACCTATATAGAATCTTAGACATCACTGTTTTCAAATAAAAGTGAGAATATATTTTTGTGTACATCTAATTCAGCAAGATAGGTGTCTTTTCATTCATTTAGAGGAGGCAAATTATGAAATTTGCACACTTGAATCAGATGAAGCTGTTTTTGAGAATGGAAGTTGTGATTTTTGAACTAGAGTGATATTCATGCCACCTTCAAGTTGTCGTGATGTCAATATAGTAGATCTTTGTGAATTCTCTAAGAAAATGGAAACAAGGAGCTTCATGTACTGAGTACACTGGTTAAGGAGATGTTCCTTGGTCACTGGGAAATTTCTAGCAGATAGTAGTTGAAATTTATCAAGATATTGCTAAATAGTTTATGTAGCTTCTTCAGCTCACTAGATATAATACCTCAATTAGAAAAATGTTGATTGTTGAGTTACGTATAAAAATTCAAGTCACATGTTACCAATAACTTGAGTTTAAGCTTTTGAGAGCCAGTAATTTGGGTTTGAAAGGTTGTTGGGCTAATGGTGCGATCTTGGACCTTGTGTTCTTTTGAATTATGATCTGTAATTATGATGTATGACTTTTATGAGAGCATCAAGGATTTGAAGGGTGGAGATTGTAATATCTTAATCCCACATCAAAAAGATATATGATTATTTAGCTCTTATAAAGGCTCAAGTCACACAACTAATAATTTGAGATTAAACTCTTGAGAGCCAATAGTTATGTCGGAATGGTTGTTGGGTAGTGGTGCTCAGGCTTGGGCGATGTCATATGTTTTTAATTTTATTTTTCTAAATGTCAATTTTCCTAAGGAGATCATTTGGAAATGCATTCATTTTGGCCTCGAATATGTGAGGAAGTAACACTAAATGTGCTGTTTTTATGATACTGTGACAGTTTATTTTTAAGAAAATGTTTGATATCTTATTATTATTATCATTATATATAAAATCCTTTTTGCGCACGTTTCACCTGCATTGATATTTGGTGACAGGGAGCTCTACAGTAACAACATAAGTGGACCTATTCCAAGTGATCTTGGGAATCTGACAAGCTTGGTGAGCCTGGATCTTTACTTGAACAGTTTCAGTGGTCCCATTCCAGATTCATTGGGAAAACTCTCGAAATTACGGTTTCTGTATGTATTTCTACCCCAAACTGGGCTTATTTATTGCAAATGTACATATAGACATCATACTTTGTATCATATCGACATTTAATTCTGTAATTTCTGAATCATGGATTTTATTTCACGTTTCATTATACTCTTGATTTTAAAATTTATTAAAGGAAACGAAAATCAGTAAAAGGAGTAGGAACAATTATGTCATAAGGATTATCTAAATCCTTTGTATATGTGTATGTGTATATATGTCTTGTATATAATTGTTTTGTTTGAAATGATTGTTTGCAGTATGGCATCAAAAAGTTTGCTTGAGAGCAATGTCTCTTGATTGGTTCAGTTGTTAACATCTCTTGTTGTTGCAATTTTGTGTAAGGATAGTCGGCTTAACAACAACAGTCTGACAGGTCCAATTCCGATGTCCTTGACTAATATCTCATCCCTTCAAGTACTGTGAGTACTAAGTTGATTTTTTTCCTTTGTTTCAAAAGCTGTTCTATCTTTGAGGAATTGTTTTGACAAAAGTAATAGCTTGAATGTCATATTGGGCAATGCAGGGATCTATCAAACAACCATCTGTCTGGAGTAGTTCCTGATAATGGCTCCTTTTCACTGTTCACCCCCATTAGGTTATTCCGAGGCTATCCGGTTTATATTTTGTTTACTGACTGGTTTGGAACATGAAGAATAAATGTTTTATTCCCATCTGCAGTTTTGCCAACAACTTGGATCTATGTGGTCCGGTTACTGGACGCCCCTGCCCAGGATCTCCACCATTTTCTCCTCCTCCACCATTTGTTCCCCCACCTCCAATTTCTTCCCCAGGTAATCTGACTACTATTATATTGAATTTTGTAGCGACGCATCAATAGCTATAAATATTTTATATTTTCTTATACTAGAAGTTTTATACAGTATATTTAATTATTTACTCCCAGTAGCATATCGCATGATGCAAGAGCAGTACTCTTTTTTCTTTAGTGATGATCTTGTATCAGTTCCAAAAGTTTATCTGATCGAGTTCTGAATCTGTCTAGATATGAATTACTATCTTGGGTTCGCATTGTATTGTTAGCTCTGGTCTGATTAGTTAAACCTCTGTGTTTTAAAGGATAGTGTCATGGTGTTTTTGGTTGAGAAGATGGTGTAATTGGTCTTTTATTTCTTCTACTATGTCAACTTTCAGGTGGGAATAGCGCCACTGGTGCAATTGCTGGAGGAGTTGCTGCTGGTGCTGCCTTGCTGTTTGCTGCCCCTGCTATAGCTTTCGCATGGTGGCGTAGGAGGAAACCTCAAGAATTCTTTTTTGATGTACCTGGTTAGTGCTGTAACTTCAAAATTAGGAATCAAAGCTTGTGTCAAAGATACTTATCACTTTTTTTATGACTGTGCAGCTGAAGAGGATCCAGAAGTCCATCTGGGGCAGCTTAAGAGGTTTTCATTGCGGGAATTACAAGTCGCAACAGACAGTTTTAGCAACAAAAACATTTTGGGTAGAGGAGGATTTGGTAAGGTTTACAAAGGTCGCCTAGCTGATGGTACACTAGTAGCTGTGAAAAGACTGAAAGAAGAGCGTACTCCTGGTGGGGAGCTGCAGTTTCAGACAGAAGTAGAAATGATAAGCATGGCTGTCCATCGAAATCTTCTCCGATTACGTGGATTTTGTATGACACCAACTGAGAGATTGCTTGTTTATCCATATATGGCTAATGGCAGTGTTGCATCATGTTTAAGAGGTGACTCTCACTCCTTGCTTCTTGAAGGCTTGATTGTTTCCCTGAGTTCTTTGCGACTGTTTCTGCTGTTCTATTTCTTCCAGTTTCTGTTCTGTTTATACTGGAATATTTAATAATGTTTTCCATCTTTAGCCATCCACTCATATTTTATTGTTGCATTCTTAGAACGTCCTCCATCACAACCTCCACTTGATTGGCCAACGAGAAAGCGGATTGCTTTAGGATCTGCTAGAGGTCTTTCTTACTTACATGATCACTGTGACCCAAAGATCATTCACCGGGACGTGAAAGCTGCAAACATTTTGTTGGATGAGGAATTCGAGGCTGTTGTTGGGGACTTTGGCTTGGCTAAACTTATGGACTACAAAGATACTCATGTTACTACTGCTGTGCGTGGTACAATTGGGCATATAGCTCCAGAGTATCTCTCAACTGGCAAATCCTCGGAGAAAACAGATGTTTTTGGGTATGGAATCATGCTTCTTGAGCTAATCACTGGGCAGAGGGCGTTTGATCTTGCACGGCTTGCAAATGACGACGATGTCATGTTACTTGATTGGGTAGGCTTGCTCTCCCCCTTTGATGTATAAGATGTTTGATGATTTTGACTTCAATGTCCTGGGCAGTTTCATTTCATGAGCTTGTGTTTAACACTTAAACCTCGACATTTGACATGACTAATAAGAAAAACCTAAGATATAGTACACGATGGTTATTATAACCATGAGCTATCGTCCAGCATCTGATTCAGCCGAACATATTTTCAGGTGAAAGGGCTTCTGAAGGAGAAAAAGTTAGAAATGCTAGTTGATCCTGACCTCCAGAAAAACTACGTAGATGCTGAGGTGGAGCAACTAATCCAGGTTGCACTGCTATGCACACAAGGCTCCCCAATGGATCGTCCAAAGATGTCAGAAGTGGTCAGAATGCTTGAAGGTGATGGGTTGGCCGAGCGATGGGACGAGTGGCAAAAGGTGGAGGTTCTTCGTCAGGAGGTGGAACTTGCTCCTCATCCTAATTCTGATTGGATTGTTGACTCAACAGAAAATCTACATGCAGTTGAGTTATCTGGTCCAAGGTGACCCTAGCACAGCTACAGTAAAAAGAGAAGAAAGGTTACTATTATTTTTTTTTTTCTCTCATCTTAATTTTTCTCCCTTTCTTTTTCTTTTAAATTAAATGACCACTCATTCTATGTCTCCTGTAAGCGCAGCTTGCATTGTATTCATTACATTTGTGCATATGAGTCTCCATGTTGAGGTGCAATTTGTATCTTCTGCTGCAGTTAGACTGAGCTAGCCATGAAGTTTTTTGATAGATGAGGCTGCGGCAGCTCAATTAATTGTTAATTGTATTTTTATGTTGAAAAAGTTTGATCTCAATTTCTAATCAGTCTTTGACATGGCAGGGGCAGATGGTCCCACTCCCATAGGTCTCCTCTAGTTCTTTTGACCAGCAATGGTCTGTGTTTACTTATCTCAAAAAGAAAAAAAAATGTCTGTGTTTACATTTTTGTACACGCCCAGTTTGGTGAAGCATAACCTATGGTCTGCATGAAATTTCGGAGACTGTGTACCGTGAATCTGATCCTCAAAAGATACAGATCTATTGCGGGACGGGAAATTTTAGTAGCTTGTGCAAGGTGGGAATATGTAATGACCCTCTTTCCTCATGTAACGGAAACAAAAAAAAAAAAAAAAAAAAAAAGAGTAACATAGTAGCAAATGAACTTAGGGTCTAACTTTGTTTGTAGAAGTTATTTGATAATTTATTTGTTTTATGAAACTGTAATTTTTTATAAAAACATTAAAAAAAACAATATTTTAGGTCCAAGACAATTTTAAAATTTTAATAAAATTTGATAGAATTTGAAATTTGTTCTTTATTCCAAGACAATCTTGGAACGTAGCCTAAAATCTGATTGGGGTGCTTGTCATCGGTAGATTTTTAACACTTAGGACGGATTTATGTTGTCTATCCCTCTGATGTCAAAGACTTCTTTCTTCCCGGCGAATAACAAGGAATGGGATAAGGGTTGCTGCATGTTTATTTGTTTTTATGGGTGTTATCATTGGTTTACTTTGTTTATTGTGAAAAATGAAAAAAGAAATCGCATTTGTTATGCCAAATACAGTTGTTATGTTAATGATTAACTTCCATTCTTACTATTGGAAAGTAAAGCTTCAGCAAAACCTTAATAAAAATAATTAAAAGAATCATATCCAATTCTAATGTTACATTTCCCATTTCAATCATCCATTCTATATTTCTTGAAGAGGGTATTTTTGGAATACAAAAGCCAATTTACATTTTAGCCGACTTACTCCATTGCTAACTCACTTATAAGCAAGCCTCCTCGGTTTGCAAGTACGGTGGCGTAGGATTAAAAAGCTTGTTGGAGTAAAACTGCAAGAATTATTTTCATAAATGTTCTAATTTCGGGATGAACTACCTGCTTTTGACGGGAACTAAATTTGACCTCGGTAACTCACGAATACTCTGATAACTATACAAAATAAAAGTTTTCAAGGTATATATATTTTTAATAAACAACATGCTTGTGTTTTTTAAATCAAACTGATAATTTTAGATCCATTATCGGATAAAATAATTGCAAAAATGTAAATAAAGGGCAAAAAGAAAAGCTTTTATTTTCTGGTAGCCATGCAGCGCAGACTTTTATATATCATCTTCCTGATCTCACAACAATAGGCATATGACATGTCTGGTAATCTAAAAGCAGCTGTAAACGGAAAATGTTTATGCTAAATTCATCAATACCAGGCATAATATAGGCATATCATACAATCGCTACAAACCTCTCTCTTTACAAGAAATCTTGAAAAAATTAAATCCACCCACCAGCAAGATCTAAGGAATGAGATTAACAAAGTTTAAAGGAGTCAAATATAATTGGATCGCGTATTGTCTGTAAAATGATGAGAACCAGACCCAAGATTTGAATTCTGTGAAGTAAACAAATTTGGGTATGAGAAATAGGAATCATCATCCATGGAGGTTGATCTCTGTGGCTGGCGATCAGCGGAATCATGATCATGAAAATGCTCATCCAAAGTAGGAGAATCAAACCTCATTTTGTGTTTTTCAATAGAATGAATGTTGGGGGATTCTGATTCCTGACGCCCTTCATGAATTTCAGAGCAACTCAAGGATTCCAGAACATTGTTGGTATCACCAAGACAGTTCTGCTGACCAAACTGTGGCTTCTCCCTTATCGGAGATTGTTCAGGACTACCTGTATAAAATGGATTCTCACATGTACTGTCAGAGACCTTATCATTCCTTTTCTTTGTAAGTTCAGCAATTCTGACCTGTGCAAGACTTGCGGCTGAGCGAGCTGCTGCTGCTGCACGCTCAGCAGTTTCAGCAGCAGCCTCCGCAGCAGCTATAACATCCTGCAAGTCCACATTTGCATCGCTTGTTGTCCTTAGAGGGGCAAGTGATGAACTTCCATGTCTGGCAGAAAATAATGCAGAAGCAACCGCTGGGGGTGAGGTGAATGGCACAAACTGCTTATCTTTGTCCCCACCAAGCTTATTCAGCTTTTCGTCTTTGTCAGACACTGATCTTTCTTGGAACAAATCTTCAGGTTCCATACGTGACTCTTGCAATTTATATTCAGAAACTCCAGAATGTTTTGATGACTCGGAATCAGTTTCTTCCGAGTGTGAAGCAGGTGACCTAGGTGCAGTCACTGCCGATGCTGATGCAACTAGACTTGGCTTTACTAACACCTTAGGAACTTCAGGAAAATCTAGTGGGTCAAATTCTGCACCGGTATCAGGATGTTCATTGGATGCTGGTTCAGCAGAGGAGGACATTGTTTCGTGTTTCTCTTTAGGTAATGGCAATTTAGAACCACTGACAAACTGTGTCGGCCCATTCTGAAATAGAGAGAATACATTACAGAGAACAAGATGAGGGCAAAAATATTTAAAGCAGTATAAGAATATTGCCAACCAACAAATCATCATGTGCTTTGGAAAACTCAGTTTCAGTGGCAGCTGGATCCCAATCTAACTCGTGCTCTTCAGCAATTTCCTTTAGAAGCTTCAATTTTAATTCAGAGGAAGGAGCACGAATAGATAACAATTCAATTAACTGCAACAAAAAAATTAGACGAAATGAAAATGTCAAAGGAAGAGCACATGTGAAGATGTACATAAGCATTTGCTCAAACAACTAAGTTTAAACCAAAAGATTAAATTAACGAAACCTGGCGATTAACACCACAATCTGGCATGAGTTCAGCTGCAGCTGATACAAATTCCTTCCCATATTTGGTGGCAAATAGCATTTGAACCTGCAGCAACTCTGGTAGATCTGCACATCTGGGTGCAGCGAAACAAATGCTCGATATTGCTTCTTTCAAGTCTAGAGGACATTCCCTGAATGAGAAGTCAAAAGTTTTAGAACGAAACATCTAAAGAAACAATTCAAAATACAGAGATATAAGGAGATTAGCTATACAAAGAAAATCTGTACAAGGAATCTAAGTCTTAACCTTTGTGTCTCAATAATTGGAAGGCGGACAGCAATAAGCTCGCAGAATAGCTCAAGGATCTCTTGAGCAGCCATCATACTTTCTTCTCTTATTATATGCTCTACCTGAAATAGAAAACTAATTGAGAACTTGTTTAAAAAATCTAAATGAAGTTCCTCCAAAACAGTGTTATACCCGAATACGAGCAGTTGCTTCTTGACCAGTCTCAAGAAGCTTAGCAATGTCGCGACGCATCTGCTTTATCTGAATCTCCCTCCTGTTTCTAAGCAACCTTATTCGCGGAATTGTCAATTTAAGTAGGGTTTTACTGCAAAACAGCAAAAAATAAAAAAATAAATTGACACTACTCTTAATCTTTGCAACTTGGATGATGAGGAAAAGAGAAAATTGTCCAACATTGACACATAAAGCAAGCAATTGGTCTTCATGTTTGAAATAGCATTTCAAACTCGATCCACCGTCAAATCTGTTTAGTTGCCGAGAAAACGAAAGAAAAGAGGAAAAGAAAAAGCCCTAAAACCTAATTGCTTTGATTCTCACAATAAAGAAACAAGTAATCTGCGATTATATCAAAACAACCCGGACAAGAGGAAAAAGTGTTTGATTCGACTACTACCATGGCGAGCTTTCTCTATTTGCTCTTTTTTTTTTTTTTTCTTTCCAACAGTTTCTCAGAAACTAAATAGAACCCTGAGAAAGTTCAGCATCCATCCAAATTTGCAATCTCAAAAAAGTAATTTAACAATTTAAAGAAAATAAAATCCATATAGAAAGAACAAAAGAATAAGGAGAGATCAATCACCATTTAGCTGCTTTAAAGCCTTTGTTGAAGAAGGAATCGAGGACCGACATGATCGAACAAGATCAGAAGACAAGCCAATCGCGCAACTTATACACCAAACAAATAAGGAGACTTTTGATTTTGAAGCTGTTAACTGTCTGTAAGCAGTGTATATTTATAGGGGAAGAAGATGACAATTAATCACTAGAAATTATTTACCATTTGAAAACCTGTATGATCTCAGGTTTAATCTAAAATGAGAGATTACTATGAGATAAAAAAAAATAATAATAATAAAATTACATAAAATATGAGATGAGGAAGAAGAAGAAGAGAAGAAAATTAACCTGCTACGCGGAGTAACATTCCTTTCGATGACAACACAGGGGAGGGAACGCGAAGGAGTTTGCTTATCCGTGAAGGATTTTTTCATTGGCTTCTTTTTTATTTTTAATTCAGGGGCTCGTTTGGGTTTGCGCGCAGAGAAAGATAGTCGCCCCCTTGACGGTTTTGCTGTTGAATGTGTCGGCATCAAACGGCAAAACGCGGCGTAACGTGGACTTCTCGTGTGTTTGGCGATGGGCTAGGAAGCCCAATGGATACTGGGCTTTATTAGATTTAAAGATAATCCGTATTAACAAAAAAAATAGATTGAATTATTCAATTTGTATGTAATAATTTTATATTACATATATGGTCTTTAATTAGCTCGAAACTGCCTCAGGCAATATAAGGATATGGAGGGGTGGTAGTCATTTCTAAACAAAACGATTGATTGTGTGGACAAAGCTGCAGGCCAGCGGAAGCAATAGACAACAACTCGGCAACCACTTACCATTCATTCGGGTCCCAAATTGTTTGAATGATTAGCAATTGAACATTCACTTGAAGTATTCAATTAGATTTTGACTATTTATGATTAGAATAATATCATAATTGATACTTTCGTATATATAACTAAATCCATTATACAACGATATATTTATATTCTCACATAATTTGATTAAAATATATAACTGGCTTATAATTAAAATTCATTTCCGTTCAAATTCTCTTTTTAAGTTTGTATTGTATTTCCATTTCATTTCGTGTAATCAAATATAAATTGAACTTAAACTTAGAGTTTTCTAAAATAAATTTCAAGAGAATTATAATTTTATCATTATAATTAAATTAAATAATTTTGTTACTTTTTGTTGTATGAGAGTTTTCTTTAAAAAAAAAAAAAATGCTAAATTAGATATTTATTCATTATAATTATCGTAACTAAAAAAATTTATTTGTTATAAAATACTTTTTTGTCAAGTTCGTAATAATCCATCACTACAAAGTATAATTTAATTACCATAATTTTATCAAAATACTTATAACTTAAATCATATAACCATTGAATCAAGCATCAAGAATTTGACGAAAAATAATGAGCTTTATATAATAGTGAAATTCAAACTCAGTAATTTTTTAATAAAAATAAGAATTAAATCAGTATATTATTGGTTTTCATTACATGAGTCTTAGCATACCTTTAATGCTTATATTTTGTAGATAAAATGATAAAGGTCTTATTTTCTTAAATTTGACAAATTGATCCCCGTCTATAATTTGGATCAATTAAAAATGCATTAACACTCTATAATTTGTATTTAAATTTATTTTATTTATTAATGATTGAAAATATTTAAGACAAAATAATTTAAATTATTAGAATAAAATTTAAAAAATTCATAATTTGAATCATTAGTTTTTATTGCTATCTATTTTTAGCATTTAAATATCTAGTACTAATTAGATAATATTATTAATTAAATATAAAAATTTATTTTTTAATTAATTTTATAATATACATTGTTACGATTCTATCTGTATTCGTTTTAGCTTAAATTTACTTTTACCACTAAAAACTAATACACAATTCCCTGTTGCTCTCCAAAATTCCTTCCGAATTCTCCACACAAATTAAAAATTTTCAAGTTTATATGTAATAATGTATTTGACAAACATCAAGAATTTACCAATTGAATTACAAAATCCAAACTCACAGAGCCAATTGAATGTCACCCAAATCCAGCTGAGCAGCAATCTCCTCCAGCTGCTTCTTCACGCTCATGTCAATCAACTTGGACCCGGAAGCGCCGAACCGAATGGTGAACCCAGCCACCAAGCTCGGGTCAATCAGGGTCTTGATCCTCACATTCTTTACTCCCGTCAGCTTCTGCACCTGCTTCGCGATTTGCGCCAGGTGCTGCGACTCCAGCGGCACCACCGAGCTCACCACCGCCAGCTCCGTGTCCGTCAACTTGTTGTACACCATCTCGAACTCCTTCACGATTTCCGTTATGATGTCTATTCTCTTCGCGTCCACCAGGATGTTCAGGAAGTTGGCGGTGTGGGGCTGGAGGGCCGAAGAATTGGAAATTTCGTCGAGCACCTGTCGCTTCTTCTCGACATCCACGGTCGGATTCGAGAAAAATTCTAGAACCTGAGGGTCAGAGAAGATTTTATCGATCTTATCGACGTCGGCGCTGGTCGATTCCATGGTGTTGTTAGATTTCGCCACTTCGGCTAATGCGGCGGCATAGCTTCCGGCGGCGGTGGCAGACATCTTGGCGCCTCCGTGAGAGCGGAGTTGGTGGGAGGAGAGGCGGAGGGAGGAGATGGTGGAGGAGAAGGAGAGGTTGATAGAGACGTTCCTCGGCATCCGTGCCGAAGTGGAGGAGGGTGGAAGCTTGGACTGGAGTGAGATTGGGGTTTGTTGGAGGGCCGCCATTGTTGTTGATTGAAGCTTGACGGAAAGAGACGGAGAGGGGAATGATCAATTGGGGGTGTGTAGAGTTTTTGTTGAAGTCTTTCAATTATGATTGGAGGATTTGGAGATGAAATTGGGATGGACGGCTGAGATTTTGGGGGAGAATAACGAACGGTGGAAAGAGAGTGAATTTTATCTTGTGTATAGGGAGAAGCGTAGCCACTTATCTGGAGGACGATAAGGTGTTGAAACGTGGATGCATTGGAAGAGAGGGCAATTTGTGAATCTATCAAGATCACTAAATCTATTAAGCTCTTCCAAAGGGCAAAGGAAATTTAGAAAAAAAGAAAAAGGAAGGAAGCAAAGAAGAACATTAAATTCTTATTACTAACATACCATTAAATTCTTATACAAATATTGATTTATAAGTCAGTCTAAATTTTTAATTTATTTAGGTAATATTGCAATGATTTTTTTTTTTTTTTTTTAAAAAAACCTTTTCATTTCAACATAAATAACTTATTTTTGAATTGAGTGAGAAGGATGTAATGGTCACTACAAATACAATAATTTAGTGATTAAGATATTTGTGGTTATGAATTCAAACTTCATTAAGAACATATACATTTCTATTTCATAAGTGTATTATGGATTAACAGTAATTTACTTATAATACTTGATTTAATAATATCAAAAATTTATTTTATCAATATATTGGTGGAATTGTAATAATCAAATTTAATTTAATCTCTGTAAGTAATGATGTATTCGGATAAAAAAAATATTTCGTGACAGTTAGATTTCTCTTAATTGAGATAACCATAATATAGTACAAATTCAACTGAACTTTTTTTTTTCGTATGGAAAAAGAAAAGTTGTAACGGTATGTTTTTTAACAGATTAGAGAATAATTTAATTTCAATTAGTTTGAAATAATTTACAGCTAAATAAGAAAAAAATAATATTTTTTTTTTCTGTTATGCTCTTTAATGTAATTGTTGGACATTATTATAATAATTTATAATAATTTTATATTATAAATATCTAATATTAACTCGAATGTGATATAAATACAAATAGAGGTTCGATAAACGTTAAATATTATATTCTTTTGATATTTTTTGAAATTTTATCTAGTGGTTTAGCGGTTAAGATAAAAAGTTATGGTTCTTGTGCTTTACTTGAATATTACAAATTTAAATCTCACTAAAAATATATAACTCGCCACTTTGTAGATGTATTATAAAGTAGTAGTGATTGATTTGTAATGTTTAATTTAACGAGATCAATAACTTAATTTATTAATATATTGATGAGATTACAACAACTAAATTGACATTAGTCTTAGCAAATTATGACATATTCAAGTGAAAAAAATATTCTATGATAATTAATTTTTTTTAATTGGGATAGTCACAATGGAGTAAAACTTCAAGTTAACATTTTTATATATAAAAAAAAAAATCAAGGTTGTAATGGTATGTTTTTGAAAAGATCATGAAATAACTTAATCTCAATTAGTTTAAAAATACATTTACTACTGAATGAAAAAAAAACATATCATTCATTTATTTTTATTTTTTTTTGTTTTATGCTCTTAGTATAATTGTTGTAAATTATGGTAACAATTTAATATTTTTACACGCATTTAATACTAACTTGAATTCTGCATAAATCCAAGTAGAGGTTAGACAAACATTAAATATTATACTATTTTGATATTTTATGAAGTTGAATTTTTTATTGAATAACTTCATGTTTTTAAATGATCTTTAAATTTCAAATAGAAAAGATTGATAATATTATCATTACTACCAATGTTATATTTAGATATACGATATACCAATTACAAATTTTAGATAAATACTTATGTTTTTATTTTGCTTTAAGAAAAAAAAAATAGAACATTTTGTATTATTGTTGTTAATATTGTTCTATATTGTTTTTGTTACCTTGGCTAGTGACATATTTTTAACAACTCTTCCCTAAAGTCCATTAGTTTATGAATTCATCATTTTGCACTGTGTGGAAACGATGAAAAGAAGTTAATGAAAAAAAGAAGCACAAGAACAAGATAAGGAGAGAACTATGGAGTTATTGCACCATTTATCGTTGAGTAATATAATCAAGTTACTTAAAGGAAGATGTTTGAGAATAAGTAAAATGAGTTTACCAAACTTATCAAATTGAATAACCAAAATATGGACAATGAACTTAAGGAATAGAGGAAGTTGGTATAGCCATCCATCAATTATATTGTTGCTCACTTAAATGATTGTATGAGCAACATTCATGCTAAGGAGGAGATGTATGATGCTAAGGGCCACTATAAGAGACAATATCTTTTTAAAACTTAAAAGGTAAACTTTTAAACACCAGTTGGCAAGAGAGTTAAAAATAATATTTAAGATTGACTAAAGTATGGTGCTCATTGGATGGATTCAAAGAAAAAACTTAGTTGTTTTAATTTCAATCTAAATAGAAGAGGATCAGTTTTTTTTTTCAATATTTGAGTTTTTTTAATCTTTTTAATATCTTAAAATTTTTGATCATCTTATTCATGGATTTAATCGAATTATTAGACCAAACAGTCCAATCCATTATGGATGAAAATGTGAACAAATTTAGGTATCAATTTCTTTTTATGTTTTTTTTTTTTATGATCTATTTAACATTTATTTATCACAATAATTTTATGTTATTCCATAAGAAGAGTTTTGTTAACATCCACTCCTAAATAAATAAGAAAATGAGAAAAATGAATAAAAATTAGAAATTGGATTTAAATGAAAGAGTTTTAAGAATTTTGGGGGTTTATTTAAATTGAAGGACTTAAATGAAAATAAATGAGAAAAAAGGGGGTAAAAACATAAATAAGAGGAAGTGGTAGAGGGCAAAGAAAATAAAAAAAATGGACGACCTAAATCGGATCGCTGGAGGAGATCAGATAAAGGAGCTTTAAAAGAAAACAGATGTACTAGATTGAGCTTGTGAGATCAAACGGTTGGGAGAACGGGTATAAAAGGAAAACAGATTAGGGTTTTCTTCATTTGGGAGAGAAGCCAGAAAAGAGAGAGGGAGAAGGAGAGAGGCGCGATCGGGGAGAGAAGGAAGAGAGGGTGTCACACGGGGAAGCTGAGAGAGAGAAAAGAGAGAGAAAAGAAGATAGAGGCCAGAAATGAAGAGGGAAAAGGTGAAGAAAAGAGAGAAAGGGAAGAAAAAGAGTGTGGCCGAGTGGGAAGAGGAGGAAAGCCAAGAACGACCGCACAATGGGGAGGAGAAGAGAGAGAGTCGCAGCGGCAAAAAGTCGAAGAGAAGGGAAGGAAGAAAAATCGCGGTCGAGGAGCACCGTGTGACTGCGGAATCCAAAACTGAGGCTGTTTGGATTTTTTGAGCATCACACCTGAACTAGGTGCGTTCTTTTTCCTCTTTCGGTGTGTGTTTTTTGACAAAACGGGTATTCACGTGAGTGTGTATGTGCAGGTTTGGGAGCTTGAGAGCCGCAGGGTGACCGAGAGAATGTGGGAGGGCAAACCACTTGCATCGAAGGTAAAATCATTTGTTTCTATGTTTTGGGTGATGGTTTGGACGGTGGTGGAAAAGGGCCAGTGTCGGGCTAGCCGCGCGGGCTCGGCCGGGCCACTCACACACTCGGGAACCGAGGGGCCTTCCTTGGGTGTGGGGAAGTCGACCCATTCGAGAAGTCGAAGGTCTTTCCTGAGCATGAGAACCCGATTCATCATTTTGGGGTTCCGATTTGCCGTATGGGAAGTTGAAAAATCTTCCTCAGAAAACAAGAATATGATTTTCCAAACAGGAAGCTGAAAGATTTTTCGAGTACGGATCCCGATAATTTTGGATATTCCGTTTGGTGGTCATTGGAACCCGTAATTTGATTAAATTAATTTTTGTTTAGTATTTAAAAGTATATTAATTAAATTACATCATGTGCGTATAGGGAATTAGGACATTCAGGCATATCTAGCAAGATGCGTAGAAGTGCAAGTATTTTTAAATTTCAACTGGGTTTGAATTTTGAAAAAATGCATGCATTTTATTAAATTATGAATTTTAAAATTTGAACGGACACTAACCCAATTTTTGATGAAAAACAAAACCAAAATTTATGACCAGTGAACCTAAGAAATTGGAAATTTATGAGGAGACGAAACAAACAACAGACCCAAAAAACTGAGAATTTATTTGGATTGTGATGAGATACAAAATTGAAAATTAAGAAAATTCCTAATTAAGTGAAAAATTAAAAAAAAAAGAAATAAAATAAAATTAAAAAATAGAAAGGAAAAGAAATAATTGAGGTTGTGAAATGATCAATTAAATAAAATTTAGAGAAAAACGGAATAAGAGGTAAATAGATAAGAATTTTGGAATGAGAGGGTAGGAGTGAATAGGGTAGGGACTCTGAATACTTTCTCATTTAGTATGAATTGAGGAGGAGAGTGTGTGTGTGTAGCTGAAGTTCAGCGGACATGGTGAACCTGCACATGGATAGAGTCTGAAACCTAATGTAGACGTGTATGAGTATTTATGAGTGTGGGTTACTTAGCAAATGTGTGATAGGGTGATCCATTTCACCTCTCCTTGATGATGACATAAACGACATCATGCGATAAAATCTTAGAAATGACTTTTCGAGTGTATATGTGATCTTTTGTGTGTGTGTGATTATGTTTCTAAATGACGATTAATATTCAGTGTATTTATAACTTTCGAGAGTATGAGAATATACAGTTGAGGTTTGTATATGATATTTGAGAGAATTCAGAAGATCGATTAGAAATATGTGAAATAATAAAAATAAGAAAATAAATTCTACACTGAAATATTTTTATTACTTTTGTTCCTTCCTGTGTGTTTTGCATGAAATTTTACCTAGATTGAAAGAATATAAATACTTATTGAGTTGGTGAAACTCATTAAATTTTACTATGATATTTTTCAGATGAGAAAGAAGAGTCAGAACCGCTGCTAGACATGTAGAACCTGTAAAAAGGGTTCTTATTTTGTATATTTTGTGTATATTCGAGAAATTTCTGTTTTGTTTTGTTAAACCCTAAATTTTGACTTTATGTTTTGTATGTATAATTACTGTATATATCACATGAGATACTAGGCTGTATGGTAAATTTGGAGCTGTGCATTTGTATAT